GTTTACAGGGACATTTTGGTGTAGGGACTAAAAAAACTCCGTGTCAGTCCCATCTAAACCAAACAGGAGGGACTTTTAGGGACTAAAAGTGGGCATTTGGGACTAAAGAAAGAAGACCCTGAGGGAGTCTTTTTGGGACTTTTTCCAACAGTTGCCCCTGCCACGCATCGCACCTTGTCTCTATTAGTTCATTACTAGGGGTAACATGGTCTTTTAGCATGTCATTTAATAACCTCTAGTCCATGTTTAGTCCCTGGAACCCAGCAGGTAGGGACTAGGGAGTTTTTAACCAAACAGGGCCTTAGATTAACAACAGCTAATGAGTTGCACGGGACAGTGGACGCACCAGCACCATGTGCATCTACCGATGTACTGTGGTCATGCACAGTCTGTTGCAACAAAGAACAAACAACGAAGGAGCATATTTGTGTTGGTCCCAATTTTGTTATCTTTAGACACCTTTCCCTATGTGAGCGCAACAAATCTAGTCCTGCTCAAACTCTGCAGCCTTGTCCCTTCCTTTCCTTTTTGAACTAGCACTTTCGCCCCTTCATTTCCTCTTTGAACCACGTCCTAGATTTATGCGATACAACTTTCCCCACTACTTTCCCCCATTCCTTTCCTTTTTGAACCACGTCCTAGATTAATGCTATACAACTTTCCCCCTTCATTTCCTCTTTGAACCACGTCCTAGATTCATGCTATATACAACTTTTCCCACTACTTTCCCCCACTCCTTTCCTCTTTGAACCACGTCCTAGATTCATGGTATACATGCAGTTAGAGCAATGCATGTGGAGTAAGTAAATTATACCTTAAGGTTCTTGGGGCGTGGTACGGTGGGCGAAGGGACGGCGGCGAAGAAGAAGGGGTCGGAGGCCCTCCCGCGCCGCCGCTGGGTGGAAAGTGAACAGCTGTGCCGGTAGTCCCTAGCCGACGGCGACATCGTTAAGCCTCCTTCCCTTCCCAGCGGACGGATCCTGCCGGCTCTTTGAGCAGCAGTGAGGGGAGAGAGAGGCCAACGAAGTCTTGTTTAGATCTGGAGAGGGCGAGAGAGTGTGAAGAGAGCAACTACAAGCGCTGAGGCTCCAGCGGGAGAGGGCGAGAGAGTGTGAAGAGAGCAACTACAAGCGCTGAGGCTCCAGTGTGTATATATATACTGGAGAGAGAGTGTGAAGCGTGCAAACCCTAGAAAACATTTTGACCAGTCAAAGAATCCTCCTGGCACAAATTATGTGCAAGTGTAGTTATCGAACCCGATCAAGTTTGATGAGCGAACAGGCTAACCAGCTGCACAACCCTCCCGTTATGTTCAACGAGAGGGAAATAACCTTTTATACATTCCTGCATTCGTGTGACAAGCATCCCGTGTTTTTTTGTGTGTGTGGGAGTCATTGGGATTTCAATCATAATCGTGTCATGTGGCTTTGGTGGTAAGACTATCCATAGTGGTGCAGAAATAATGCAGCCTTAGTCACCTTACCTCTCTCCACGTAGTACGTTGGGTCCCACCAGTCAGAGGGTGAAACAAACAAATTAATAAGAAAAATTAAAAGCGCCAGCGGTGTATCTTACCTCACACATCTCGCTACTGCTCGGGAACACTGTCCAATTGATCCCTCTGTTTGCTCACGTACTATTTTAAGTGAATCCTTATTATAACATGCACACAAATTTTGGGCACTTGTATTCGACTGAAGTCAGTGTGCCACCGTATCTCGTATACTTACTACTCCCTCCATCTAGGTGTAATAAGTCACGTTAGAAGGTGCAACGGGACCAAGGTGCGTGTGCGTGTGTGTGTGTGTGTGTTTAACAACATGTGTGTGTTAGAGAGAGTGACAGATCGACCTACTCCTACAGAGAGATGTTGTGTAGTTACGATTTTAGGCGCGAGAGTCGGTGCATCCTCTCATTTCCGGACGTGTCCGGTAGGGACATGCGGACAGCTACCACGCCCGCTCCTGACCAGCCTGGCCCACCCAAAGCCCCTTTATCGCCCGCGCGCGCTTCCCGCCCAAAACAGTCAGCGCCGCTCCAAAGAATCGGTGCAGCATTCATGCCCGGGCAGAGCGGACGCGACCTCTCACTGGCGCAAGAGTTATGGTTGCTTCGTCCGTCCAACTTACTGCTGGGTCTATGTGATTTGACGGCTCATTGGTCTTTATTACTGAGGTGGTAGGACTCTGGATGTCCCACGCTTTCGGCGAAAGGAGGTAGGAGTATACTACTACTAGATTACAATTTTCTCCATTCTTACAGCGGAGGCGTGCAAGAGCAATGAAAACACGCAGGCTCAGTGATTACATGGCCCACCTCACACTATCACCGTGTGACACCTAACTCTTTACATAGTACTCCCTCCGTTCCTAAATATTACTAGATGAGTCCCCGCGCGTTGGCGCGGAACAGTGGTATATCTCTCTGCGCAAAATTATTGATTTCATAGAACTAAAAAAAACTCTATAACCGCATGACAAATGTGGTAGCCAAACTAAATAAACTCCCATCATCATTTAGATCATCCCACATAAGGAAAAAAGATCAGCCAACTCCTACTGCATAATGGGATTATATTTTTCTTTTTGACATGTTAATGGGACTTAAAAGCTCACTTACATGCATGCTACCGGTGCATGCTTGCATGCAGACATATGGATGTGATTTAAAACCCACTCACATGCATGTGCCACGGTATTTTTGCATGCTTGCATGTGGCTTAGTGCGGAGCCTCTCAACGTCTAGATCAGACGGCTATTATGGACTGATTTACTTCATCTAACGGCTACATCAATTTTGATGACGTGGCTCAAGGAGAGGATAGAGAATTCCTAGTAGTGGGGGCTAGCTATTACTAGTAGATAAGTCTTTGTAGAGATTTCACTACATACGGAACAAAATGAATGAATCTACACTTAAAATGCATCTATATACATCCGCATGTGGTTCATGGTGAAATCTCTACAAAGACTTATATTTAGGAACGGAGGAAGTACTAGTATAGTACGTACTGTAATTTATCAGCAAGATAAATTTGTACAATGCTATGAAGCTTCCAGCTTCTGTTACATGTATCTTGCGTCCAAGGTTGCCCGTTGCAACATTTCATCAAATACAAAGGAGACTAACATGCATGCTATTACATCTCAATGATTGACAGATCATGGCAAATATGTACTCCCTCCGTTCCAAAATAAGTGTCTCAACTTTGTGCAAACTTTAGTACAAAGTTGTACTACTACTAAAGTTGACATTTATTTTGGAACAGAGGCAGCTAAAGAAAAAAACGATCCATGTAGTCCCTAGCCCTTGAACCGTGAACCCTGACCAGGCTTCAATTTGCTGGCAACGTTTGAGCTTCCTAATAAATGAAGTTTGCAACCTTTTGACCATCGGATCATTTTGTGCAGTTTCACCAAAATCGAGATGAGCATCCCTGTGGCAAAGAAATTGAACAAGCGTGATTAGAATAAGATTACTGGGACTAGTTGATGAGACATAAACTCATCACAAATACAGTACATAGAAGCCAGTAGAGGTATGTGCGGGGCAAAGAAGTAGAGAAATATCCATAGGGAGTGATGTGGGCAGCTGAAGCAGCGGTGCAAGCCGGCTGTAAAGGGAGTTGTACCTAAGGGACGTAGCTCAACCTTGAGGATGGCGGCGGGAGGCGGCAACTGCCCACGTCGCGGCAGTGAGCAAGGGACGAAGGCAACCTCACCGGCTTTGTGAGAGAGAACGGCGGGGACCCCTGATCGGGACGTGCCGACAGTGGGTTTTCGCCGTCCGCGACGGCCACCGCATCTACACTAAGCATCCACCCCTTCCCCAAGCGGACGTGATCCACCAGGATGTTAGAGATGTGGCCACAATCGTTTTGTGCGAGAGAGTGTGAAGAGAGCAACCCCAGCAAGCAACCGTGTAGGCTGGCCCGTCCTGACTATGTATATCGTGGAGCGGTTTCCTTTTCTCTCCATATGAACCTATCATATTGCGTACATGTCACTGAAGAAAAAAACCTTTATTTATAAATGACGCGGCACCTACTACTCGTTCTCCTATAACCTTGCGCTTGGCATCTCCAAAATATTAACCTTGCGATTGGCTCTTCGCCTCTTCGGAAAGTCGAGCAATAATGGTAGTGCAGTATATATCTTTTTGGCTATATGAGACCGAATGAATTGCTGCACGTCCACCACGTGGGCGAGGGTCGAGGGGCGAGGGAGAGTGCTATATATGGAGCAAACTGAGTGAATCTACACTCTAAAATACGTCTATATACATCAGTGTTTGGAGTATGTACTAGTAGTTCATATTGAAATCTACTAAAGGACATATATATATTCAAAACAATATGATATAATCTCTATAACCAAGGTAGTAGGGACAAGGAGTAAACGGAGGGAGTAGTAAATTTTTCTCCTCGTCCTGCGAACCACCGCGCGCATGGGTGAGGGAGCAGGCGTAAAGCATAGTAAGCAAACTTCACCTCATCCTGCGAGCCACCGCGCCCGTGGGCGGGGGAGACGTCGTACTAAGCAAGTTTCTCCTCGTTCTGCGAGTTGACAGAACACATCCGTGTATAGAGCCTTGCCTCTAAGTTAGGCCCCACACTACTAGGAAAACTCCTATAGATAGACATTTAGTAATAGCGTGGGTTTTTTTGGCCCACGCTATTGCTATTTAGTAGTAGCGCGGTGAAAAAAATACGCTACTGGTATGACATAGTAGTAGCGCGGGCTCAAAAAACCTACGCTGCTACTAAATGATTTCCACCCTGCTCCCTCGTCAGACAATAGTAATAGCGTGAGGTATAAAACCTGCGCTACTGCTATATGGATAGTTGTAGCACAGGTGAGACACACCGCGCTGCTACTATGCCCCAACCGTCCACTCCACGTACTCCCACGCCACCCACCCCGAGCCAGATCTAGATCGAGACCCCCTGCACCAGCGGCCTCCCGTCCCCTTGCCGGCCTGAGCTGAGCTGAGCTGACAAGATGACACGGCGTGGCTGCGTGCAGGCGCGGGTGATACCTGAGACGGACGCCGGGCTGGTGGAGTTCTTCCTGGACACGGACGCGCGGGAGATCGAGATCGAGATCGGCAGGCTCCGCCCCAGGCTGAACAAGGCCTTCTTCGACCACATCCAGCGGGAGATCGCACAGATCAAATTCGCGGTCACCAGGACAGCGGTCTGTACCAAACTGCATACATTTCTACCTGATGATTCCTCTGCTCCGTGTGGTAGATTTTGTTCCAATTGATCAATTCCAGCTTGATTTTGATATCTTCCGCGTGTGCACGCAGGCAAACGAAGACAGACTGATCGAGCTGGAGGCCATGCAGAAGGTCATCGGGGAGGGAGTCGGTCAGTGAGCAAAATCTTAACTCCATGAAACTTTCTGCATAATCCAAGCTAGCTCGATGACTTCTGTCTGTGTATCTCTATCTGTAACTGCTGTTCTTGCTCATGATGCAGAGGCCTACGACAAGCTGCAAAACGACCTCGTGACGGCCAAGGAGCGGCTCACCAACATCCTGCAATCCAAAGATAGGAAGAAAACGGTAAGATCTGAAACAACAAGACTTCAAAATGCTGTCACTTATCTGATATGAACCTGCTGAGTTTTTGTAATTGTGAATTGATGTTGCACAGCTGCTCGACATGGTAATCTAGGCATGTGTGTGTTTGTGTAGATTCACACAAAGAAATACCTGCCACCTGCAGGTTGGTTGTGGGGTTCGTTTGCTATTTTTCTTAGTGCTTCCATGTGCAAGAGAGGTAGTAGCTCCCTACCTTCAACGGAGTAGCCACATGGTTGACTACCAAACCTTATACTTATGTTGTTGCTTGTTGGCCTGCTCCTTATAGTTGTCATGCTTGTGGTCGATTCAGCCGGGGATCAACAACGTCGTCGTCGCCGGTGGCATGGATACCATGTCCAATGCCCCCAAATACGCTGCAACAGCAAGGTTCCTACTAACTTAAGAAGAATGGCTCTGTAACTGTCGGCAGCTCTTCTAGTATAAAGTTTGTTGTTTACGTATTCTGACTAGTCGTTTACTATCTCTGTAGATAGTTTCTTAGATGGAAACCTCGCAGAGTAGTTAGTGTGCAGCCAGAGTCCAGTATGATATCTCAATCTTGAGTAAAGCATTTGAATTTAAGCTAGTAGATATTGAGCTCTGTGATTGAAGTGTCTCTGTTGAATACATCTAATCTGAAAAAATTTCACATTTGCTTCTCTGATAAGTAAGGTCTGTTTTCATTTACAGGTAGAAGATAGCAACAGAGTGGTAAGGTTTGTGCAGAGATCTTCTCCTCCGTCGCCATCCGCGACAAAGCTACTGGGTGCATCCGTCCATCTTCAGATCTGAGTGAAGAGGGCATCCGTCCATCTCAAAAGGTTTAATTTTTGTACCAGCTGATTAACTTGTCTTTTCATCAGTTCCTCCTTGAGTAATTGGAAAGGGAATTATATTAGACTGCTAGTTGATTCTTGCTGAAAATTGCTTTGCCTGTATGTATGTATGTAGAGAGTCTTGTAGCAATTATTCTTAGAGTAAACCAAAGCAGTATTCGATGATATATTGTGAGTCACTGAAAATGTATACTGTTTTTTTCTTCAGGATATGGATGACTATCTGAAAGTATGCAGGTTTCTTTCCAAACTTAACAACGAGATACTAGGTGAAAGAAATGCTGCCTACAAGGAAAGGTTGAGCAGCCTAGAGAATTTAGTACGGATCATGGTAAGGTTGACAAAGCCTGAAATCTCATTTTGATCCACGTTCAAAGATTACATGGTAGCATATATACTTGAAGTTGGCATGGAATATCGAAATTCAAAATAGACTTCACCTATTCCCTGTTTTGAAAAGCAGTGGGAATTGATTTTCTGAAGTCCTTGGTTGTCTATTTCCCTATCCATGCAACAATAAATGTAGAACAGAATGTTAACTGTCAAATATTTCAAGCATATATAGCTCAAATACACAAGTATTAATTTCTTGTATACACCAAAACAACAAGATAGCATGAACACGTATAGCTAGGGTATGCATTTAGTAGGTGTCTTTCCGTTTCGAAGATTCATAAAAGACTAAAAGAGACTGATAAATGAAGAAAATACCCTACTGGATCTGCACAAGTACCCGAACTAACAAGTTTTCACTTTCCCGACGTGGGCGCAGGGGTGATCGACGTGGACTACCGCGACCTGGTGGGCATCGTGCTCTTCAACCACTCAGAGACGGACTTCGCTGTGAAGCCCGGCGACCACGTCATAGAGATGATTGTCCAGGTGATTGCGGCGCCGGAGGTCGCCGAGGTGGAGGACCTTGACGCCACCGTCCGGAGTCGTCGAGGTGGAGGACCTCGATGCCACTGTCTGGAGGTTGCCCAGGTGAAGGACCTCGACGCCTTGGTAGATACATCTAGAGAAGTGGTCTACTTAGGTTGGTGGTGGAACGCTAGGGAAGGTACCTACCTTTCGGTGATGTTTGTGTGCGTCTGAAGTATAAACGATCTCGTGATCTCTTTGAATTGAGATGTTCAATGTTGTATCCATGAACGCTGCAAGTGCTAAGTAAGAATGTAAGTGTTAAAATGGTTCTGTGACCTTCATTTATTTTGCCCTGGATGTGTCCTGATTTGTATCCATGAATATTGCATCTAAATTTTATTTTTTGATTTCTAATTACTTAGCAGTAGCGTGGGGGAAGAATGACATTCTACTAGTACTTAGGAATAGTAGTAGCATGGGTTAGGAATAGTAGTAGCGTGGGTTGCACGCGCTACTACTAACTTTTTAGCAGTAGCGCGGGGTAAAAAACACGCTACTGCTAAAATTTAGCTGTAGCACCATAGCAGTAGTGCGGGAAACCACGCTACTGCTATACAAAAACCTACGCTACTGGTAGCGTTTTTCCTAGTAGTGCCACATGGTTTGCCTCTTTTTTTAACATAACACATTAAGTCGCAATTTGTTTGTTCACCCGTGGTAGACGATCCTCCCTCCACCAAGTGGACAACCAGTACACGTGCCAAATTACCACGTGGGCTACCTTTTTCGTACAGAAATGAGCTCCACCGTGTACCCGCGCGGGTGTGGTTGGGAAAGAGACGGGAGTACGTGCGCCGTGCATGCACATCTTCTCTTCGTGCATGTCCCCCACCTACGCGGGTGTGTGTGAGAGATACAAACCGCGTTCGTGAGTGTTTTTTGTTTTGGGGTGGGCGTTGATTTCGTGAATTATTTGTGGGAATATGTGTCGATGACATCTCAAACGAAATTTTGCATGCAATGTGTGTGAAATGGAGGCCTATCCATATCATACATAGAGGGTCGGGCAATCCACGAGAAGAGATGGAGGGATCATAGCTATCGATAGAGTCGAAGAGAGGATCAAGTGGGTGGGTGCGAGATCGATGAAGAGAGCCATCGAAATTGTGTGTGTGTACAAGTCAAAGATATAGGGCGACTGGCCTACCAGAACATTAGAGGGCACATGTCAAGTTTGTGTGTGGCAGGGAGACATGACTAGAGCGCTCGATGTATCGGTGTGTGTGGGGGGGAGGGGGTGGGGGGAGGGGGTAGGCAGAGGCCTAACTATAGAGGTAGAACGACTCGTATATGTGTTGAGAAGGAGAGACCCAGCTATGTCTCGAGGGAGATCGGTCGACATCCATACATAACTAAAGGACGGGAAATATGATGGGACAGAGAGAGAGAGAGAGAGAGAGGAGAGAGAAAGGGAGGGAGAGGGGTAGAGTGCTGGATGGGTGATGGAGTTGCTTCTCGAAGATGGTGGGAGAGGCCTACTAGACAAACTAAGGGTGTAACTACAATGATATCAATAAGAGTGGGGATGTGTTTCTGTGTGTGCCTGTGCGTGATAGATCTGTCGGGACGCATCCATGGATGATGAAGGGGAACCATGTGTTTGGTAAGCAAACCTAACTAGATCAGTAGATCAATTGTTGTTTGTCGGAGGATGGGAGAGACACAACTAATGAGGTAGATCGATTGACGTGTGGGTAAAAACGAGTTATAAGGACCTAGCTTGCTATATGTATAGCGAGAGATCGGTCGGTGTACGTCCATTTGTTAGAGGCAAATAAGGCCCAGCGAGATGGATAGATAGAGAGAATGGAGCTAGGAGGTGGTGCGAGAGACCCAACTACTAGCTAGATAGGGGGAGGAGTGTGCGGTTGTGAGATTGATGAAAAGAGGGGATTTGTGCCCCATAGTCAATTAGCGAAGCTGCAAACATAGGGATTTCTCCCCCCCGCAGATCTAGTCCCTGTTCAAGCGGGGCTAGACTCCTTCAATGGTGAGACCCAGGCAGAGGGCCTCCCCAATCCGTCCGGGGGGGGGGAGCGAGTGTGCTTCGTCCCCTACCTACTAAGAGGCGTCGGATTTCCAATCCATCCGTTCCTCTGAGGGCTTCTGGAATACTACGACCTCCAGCTGCACAACTTCACCCCTGCCTTCCTTTTGCACATTTGCGGGTTATGTGGCTTTATGCGAACTATTTCTGGGCATCGAAGCTCATTTCGAGTTGTGGAGGAAGTTGTTCGGTCTTGTCCCGCGTAATCACGAGGGGTCAATATTTGAAGTGGGCAGAGCCGAAGTATGGCGTATAACCGATACCGGATATCTGTCCGGCACACCAAGGAATGCATCCGAAGAATGGCCTGCCGAATGGTTCTATATCGAGGACGTCGCGCTTCCTGACCCAGTTCGAAAGGGTCTTCCTGAATTTGCGAGCGTTCCGCTGAAGAAACGCCACAGTTGGCGTCCCCAGAGTCTTGAAGAGGATGACAGCGCGAAAGTTCGTCATCTCATGAGCAAGATAAAGATGCTCGCTCAGTCCGGACTTACAATAATCGACGTAATGGCGACCTCCATAGTGCGAGGGGTTTAGCCGCTACAATACAGAGGGCTGCCAATGTGGCACTATAATGGAGAGGATGACGCCTCCCGCTATGGCCGGAAGGGTCCGGATACCCCCTCCGCTCTGGCCAAAATATTGGCTGAGCTGTTTAAAGCGGAGGGAGAGGAGTTTATTCGCATTAAGCAGAGAGATGGGTATTCTATGTATGATCCTCCCAGTTGGGTAAGCCTCAACCCCTCTGCTCCACTCATTCCATTTTTGGATCACTTCTGATAAATTTCAAGTCTGTTTGTTATGACAGCACTGGCAGAAGGTCACCGAAGGACTTCATAGTTCCGCCCAACAGCCGGAGAACCACAACCGGGAGCTAGATCCTGGGTTTGAAGAGGATCCGGATATATTCGTGGTGCTCGCGGAGGGAGTGTTTTACCAGACAAGCTATGACGGCACCGAAGTGGCCATCACCGCCGACTACCCTGGCCTTCTTCCTGCTTCACATGTAAATAATCAAGAAACACCCTCTCTAAAAAATTGCTCTTATTCTGCCTCACCCACCGCACTATATCATGCTCCACAGGGGAGACATTCAGCGCTTCCGAAGAGATCAGCTCCTGCGCCGGGCAAGCATCCGAAGAGGAAGGCCGGTGAAGACACAGCCAGGCCTTCATCGAGGAGGTACGGATAAATATGCTTTTAAGCGGCTGCATCCGACTGTGACTTGTGTGTTTGGTTACAGGAACATGGTTCGCCGATTTGTGTCCGGGGGCCCGGCCAGTCGTGCTCCTGACAACCGGGATTTAGATCCAATCGGGGAGACTGGGACCGGTGCAGGAACAACGCCGGACTGCCCTTCGGTCGAGGGTTCGGAAAATACGTCTGTCACCAACTCGGAGGTAGAGAGCACCATGAACCATCGGCGCTCCTTGGGCGACGCATACATCTGAGCTACCCTTGATGGGCTTAGAAGAGCCACGAAGCAATATCTGACAGATGTGTAAGTAAGTTTTCTTTGTCAAAAAAGGATAACCATATGCCCATAGCCCCCGAGACTGAAAGTAGTTGGCACAACTGATTTAAGGATCGTTGTACGACCAGGTCCTTACAGAGAAGAATGGCTTGCTAGCCCAAGAGCTGGAGCAGTGCTGGGCGCAGCTAAATGCTGCTACCGCCGAACTGGAAAACTTCAAGAAGTCGTCTTCTGGTAACGTTCCCCTTCATCGAGGAATAATAATTGTATACAAACTGTGCTAATTCTGTTGCTGATCATGTAATAGGGTCGCCTGATCAACTTGAAGAGAAGTTGAAGATCGCCCAAGAGGGAGAAAGAGAGGCGAAAAGGCGACACACCATAGGCGAGCGTGTGCTGACCCGCGTCAGAGACGAGAAAAACAAGCTACAAGATTCCAACACTACATTGGGTGAAGAATTGAAAGATGTTCGAGCCTAGCTAGCCGATTCTGTGAAGGAGAACAAGAAGC